GGGTTTGTATATCTAGAATGCGCTTAATTTCAAACTTTAATGATTTTTTATAATTCAACCACTTTTCGTAGGTCTCTAATATTTTATTATGCTCGTTTTTAGATAATGAACTCTATAATCATTTTGAGTTCCATTAAAAAATCCAAACAGTTTTTTCTAAGATTCAATTGCGATGAAACGACTTGACCGATCTTTGCCAAAATCCGAACAGTATGATTTTCAAATGATATATTCCAATTGACATTTAAATTTTCAAAATGGGTTCAGAGGTTTATGGGAAACGCCAACAAAAAGTCAAGTTTTGACTCACAAGCAGCTAATTTTTTGAAGTTTAATGAGTTTTTATAATTGAACGGCTTATGGCAAGTCTCTTATATTTTAGTATGCTCCTTATACCCTGAATTGTATCATCATAAAATAATTCATCAAAATTGACGAAAAAGAAACTTTCAACAATAAAAAAACGGCCCGGACGATTTTTACCGAAAACTAATCCGCACCATTCCTAATGAATAACTTTCGAAAAGTTTTTGAATTTTTAAAATGTGTTCAGAATTTTTGGCAAAGAGGATAACCAAAAATTTTTTTTTGCATATCTTCACGTTTCAAAGGTTTCTGAACATTTTGGCATACCTCAGAAAAAATAGATGTGTGCGTGTTTTGTGCGTCCGCATTTTTTCGTTCACGTTTTTGGGCGCACGGATCAACCGATTTGCATGGTTCAAAAACATTCGATTCCTATTGATAGGAACATGTGCTGATTAGTTTTTGGCAAAGGCAGGTCTAGAAAGTTATGGAGATACGGAGCAAAGAGAGCAGAAAATAGAAATCGAATTTTTGAGAGAACAGAGTATCCGATTTGAATGATCCAAAAAACATTTAATTTGTAATGATTGGAAGAAGTGGTGATTAGTTTTTGCCAAAGGCCGGTCCAGCCATTTCCAAGATTCAGAGCTAAATGTACCAAAAATGGCAGTTCTTGTGAGAACTAAGCAACCGATTTGAATGATTCAGAAAACTTTCTGCTTGTGTTGACAAAACAATTGCTTTTGAAAAAAAAATGATTTCAAATTTTTTTTTTCAAATTTTTTTTTTTTGTATATCGAAAATAATTCAGATTTTAATTTTAATTCTGGATAAAGTTCTAAAACTTATTTATATATTTTAAATAAATACTTTTATTTTTGCAATCCAGTTTATATAATTCGTAAAAATATTAGACAATAGAGATGGACTCGGATTTGACTCCGCTTCAGGGAGGAGTTATATCCGCTTAACAACTCCACGACTGTGAAGTTTGAAACCGAAATACTCGACACAAGTTCTATAGTGCGTTGTTTATGCATCTAAGGATTTGTCAAATCCAATTTAGTTTTTTGAAATAAAAATTTATGAATAAAATAAAATAATTTTTCTAAAAAATTCACAAATAAATGACGAGTTGTAAAATTTTTCGGTCGACCACATGATCGACTCAATGACTCGTAATTTTAACAGTGTTGACCAAAGTAAAAACGCAAAACTTGAGAATCAAATTCAATTTAGTTATTTTTCTATGAGAAAATAATTGATTTTTTGGATTAATTTTATATAAAAATAATGTAGTAAACTTTGTAATAAAAGCAAAATATTTATCATAAAATATTTTCACCAAATAAATACTTCTGATTTCTAATTTTTTCTTCTGCTACTTCCATTTGAAAATTAATGTTATATCGGGTAGTTCGATTAGCATATTATTACTTTTACACAATTATATAATTGTGTAAAAGTAGAAATTTAATACTATAATTAACTTCCCGTAGGGTAAGTTATTGTAATGGGCCGAAAATCGGAATTGAAAATTTTTACATTTCTCGACGTTTTGAAGGTTTCTGAACGTTTTGGCATACCTCAGAAAAAATGGATGTGTGTGTGTGTGTGTGTGTGTGTGTGTGTGTGTGTGTATGTATGTATGGATACAAATTTCCAGTCACGTTTCAGGGCGCACGGATCAACCGATTTGAATGGTTCAAAAAACATTCGATTCCTATTGATAGGGAAAAGAGCTGATTAGTTTTTGGCAAAGGCAGGTCCAGCCGTTTCGGAGATACGGAGCAAAGAGTGCAGAAAATAGAAATCGAATTTTTGAGAGAACGGAGTATCCGATTTGAATGATCTAAAAAACATTCAATTAGTAATGATTGGGAGAAGTGTTTATTAGTTTTTGGCAAAGGCAGGCCTAGCCATTTTGAAGATACGGAGCTAAATATGTAAAAAATGGCAGTTTTTGAGAGAACTAAGCGTCCGATTTAAATGATTCAAAGAACTTTCTGCTTGTCTTAACAAAATAATTGATTTTGGAAAAAAAAATTTGTTCCATTTTTTTTGTTTTTTTGTTTTTTTTTTTTTTTAGTCTTTTGTATATCGAAAATATTTCAGATTTTATTTTTAATTCTGACTATAGTTCTAATATACTTTACAAATAATTTCAACTCTGCAATTCAGTTTATATAATTCTTATAAATATTACACAATGTTACAATATTTATAATAATCTATTTGAAAACATTCAGTATTCTTCGAACATTTCGTTACGGTACGGGAAGTTCCAGCAATTTGCCTTAAGGCACGATGCCATAATTGCCTCAAGACAGAATTCCACTTACAGCTAGTTTTTTTTCTGCTTAAATGCTATTGATGTCACTGATATATTTTGCACTCTAAAGTATTATTATTTCGTTATATATATATTATATATATATATATATATATATATATATATATATATATATCTTCTATATATATAAAAATAAGTCGGGTTTTCCTTCCTGACGAAATAACTCCAGAATGCACGAACCGATTTCGACAATTTTGCATTCGTTGGAAAGGTCTCGGGCTCCGCAAGGTTTATAGCTAAGAAAATTAGTGGTGCATGGCATCGTGCCCTAATGCAAATTGCTGGAACTTCACGCACCGTAATTAAAAATTCGAGTAATGAAAATAATCAACAATTGTTTTAAATAATTTCAAATAGATTATCTACATATATATATATATATATATATATACATATATATATATATATATATATATATATAATAAGTCGGGTTTTCTTTCCTGACGAACTCCAGAACGCACAAACCGATTTCCACAATTTTGCATTCGTTGGAAAAGTTTCGGGCTCCGCAAGGTTTATAGCTAAGAAAATTAAGCTGCTGGAACTTCACGCGCCGTAATTAAAAATTCAAGTAATCACATTAGTTAGATTAAAATTACCAGAATTATGCTTGGTTAAGTCAACGAGCAATTCTGGCCGCAAAGAATAATGATGTACACGCACTGAATTTCACCATTCAATCAAAAATTGCTGGCGATTTTTGAATACCACTGATTCCGACTGGTCTTCCGTTTGACTTCAAACGATTGCAATTTCCAGTTCGCCTTGTGTTCGCAATAATAAGTCGCAAGGCCAATCGCTTAGTGTTTGCGGGATAAATTTCAAATAGATTATTTAGAAAATCATTGATTTTTACATGGGCAGTTATACAAACAAAAGATTTCTTCATCTATCTCACGAAACCATCTTGTGGCGAAACGGAGTTCGTCGGGTTTACTAGTATATATATATATATATATATAGATTAAATGTATTTTGTTTTGTGTATTTTTCGGTATGTATATTCCTCATTGCTGTCATTCACGGCCAAAGATTGTCGTAGTTAGAAATATGACCCCTTACTATTCAATAAATTATACATTGGAGCTATTCACACTTGAACACAATTTCATTGTTCTGTATCGTTGAAGTTATATTTTTGTATTTTCTGGAAAAAAAACGTATACCTAAAAGGTCATAAAACTGCCTCCGAGACGAGAAAGCGACAGCTTCCTTCCCAAAGCAAAACGCAGTAACAGATTTATAGTACCAGTTTACGGAAGTCGGATATGACTAATCCGGTGAGACAACTCCACTCGGATTCACTCCGAGGGAGGAGTTGTATCTGAGTGATAACTCCGGAGTGAGTTACCCATCTCTATTAGACAATGTTACAGTATTTATAATAGGTTGTCAAATATCTCCCTTCCGCCTTTTTGTATTATAAACCAAGAGCAAAAAAGCGGAAGGGAGATATTTGACAACCTAATAATAATCTATTTAAAACCGTTTAATATCCCTCGAACATTACCTCATTACGCTTCGGAAAGTTCTAGCAATTTGCGAAGGCACGATGCCATACACTACTAGTTATTTTTGTCTCAAACAATTCGGAATGACTAGAACCGTTGTGAAACATAAAATTTCAGCGGATCCTCCGAAAAGGTAAACATGAATTAAAATACCATACATTTTTCACAATGCATTGCAAAATGTAAGGCAAAAATCTCAATTTATTTCCCCTAATTAGTTTAAAAGTAAAAGAAATTAATTGAACATTATTTTTTTCTATATATGTATGCCATCTGTATGGGAAATAAAATAACACTAAAATTATGAGTGTTGGGGTCTTCGCATAGAAGTGTTATTGTGCTTGGCCCAACAGAATGCGCAACTATTTCTCATTCGAAAATAAAGTCTTGATAATGGTAAAAACTTAAACTAAAAGGCATATAATGCAAAAAAAGTTATTACTGTTTATTTTATATTATGAAGCAACTTTCTATAAATGCATATATACAGAAATTAAAATTAAAAAAAAAACTAATCATTGTTTTATAATTCAAATTTATTTATAAGTTTAGTAATAAAGTATAAAGATAGTGTATATTTAATTTAATTCAATTAAATTGAATATTTGTTTGTATACATTTATACGATATATGCATATATATAATAACACATATACATATATCATGCACACATACATACATAAATACATGGGCATACGCACATACATACATGCATGCATACTCATAATAACCTTTTCATACTCATCGAGGATATAATTTCATAAATGTTGATGACGCTTATCTGGAAAACAAATTTGTCATCTTTATAAAAACAAACAAAAAATTATTCTATTTTTGTTAACGTTATAGAATTTGATTCAACTTCATACAGCCACCATATTCTTAAAGCATTACATACATCTAATTTATTAATTTATATTACACACTCATATGATACCTAATTTTTTTTTGAGAATGGAACGTTATAACGCTGCAACTTTTCAATTATTGTCTGAATACCATCAATTGTATCCCAGTGTAAGCTTAATGCTAACATTTTTGTTCTCTTAGATGAATCAGTTGCAAAACAGTTTTCCACAACACCCCATTTTGCAAATAATTTCAGTGCATTTCGCACACTATCTGAAGATACACTCTCACCTGTAAGCATAATATATAATAAAATACACAGATCACAAAAAGGAACTGCTTCAACAAATTTGATATGAAAGCGTAATATGTTAAAAAAAAATTAAATTAATATGCTCTTGAACAGTTTAAAAAATTTCTTCAGTATTATCTTAAAAAAAATCAATCATATGTATAAATTAACTTCATATAAAGATCAACGTTTTTTGTTTAGTAGTTAATAACATTACCTCTGTTGTCCAAATATAAAAAATAATCTATAACTAGGGCATTAATAAAAATAATCAACTATCCTAAAAATAATCAGATCCTTTTTGTTATTTAGGAGAGCAAAAGATATGATAAAATCTTATAAAGATGATTGATCTTTGTTGTTTCGAGAGTTAAAACGATATTTTAAAAAAATCTAAACTATAATAACATCAAATCAATGCTTTCTTATCAAGCTTACCTATATGTTATATATATATATATATATATATATATATATTTATATATATTAAATGTTACATATTATGGCATGTATATTTACTAACCGTATTGACAATAGTTATTTTCTATTTGTTGCTGAATTTCTTGAAGTGTTAGTTGGATAAATTCTGCCTCAGCCACTGGTCCGTCCAGTAATTTGTTTAGAGTTTTTGCTGTACATAAATAAGCATTCATCAACGGAGATAAAACTGACACCAAACTTGCTCTGCAAAGTATAAATGAAATATAAATAAACATATATATTTTTAATTTTGAAATAAATCTCTCGATTCAGCTCTTTCACATCATGCTAAATATTATTTTCTTGATATGTGTAAAAATTAAGAGTTGTGTGAATTTTGTCAAACATATACAAATTAACAAAATATAAAAATATTATTTATGGTCTCTATTAAAAGTACTATTTTAGGATTCATGCAATTACGATGCACTATGTGGTTTGATCAAAAGAACTCTCATGTAAAACCTATAGCTAAAAATATAAAACCATAGTATAGGTTTTCATACCTATAATACAATTTTCAACATATTTCAAGAACAAATAAATATCTTCCAAAGCATTTAACAAATATTTAAATAAAAAGAAATTTATTACTCTATTTATATTATATTTTTATATAGGCCATTTAAAATAAAAAAAAACTTTGAAATTCACCTAGATTGCAAAGCTTGTGCACTTGTGCCCACTTTTATCTCATGAGAACTAGCATCTCCTCCTTCATATCCATTATATGAATCATCATCTGAATTATCACAGATATCTAAAGTAGCTGCACACCTTCTACTCCATTTCTCATCATCTGTATAAAATTTCTGCACAAAAGAAATCCCATTATAAAAATATATATTATAAAAGCAAGCCATAATCATTTTAATGAAATTGATACATAATTATTTTGATAAAAATTAAGAGTTGATCAGTAGTCAAAATCGAATTTAGTAGACATACAAAACAATTTGTATATGTGCTTCAAACTACGACAGACTTTACTACTAAAAACTTAAGCAGAACAAATAATTTAATTAATTGCACGTCTTTGTATTAAAAATCCTGGGCTAAAATATTTCAAGATGTAGTCTTAAATTTAATTTTTTACTTAATTTTCTTCAAAGAATTTATCATTTCGTCAATTCTGTTTAGACCTGTATATGTTCATGAAAGAAAAACAAGTCATTTGCAAATCAATAACAATAATATTTCGTTATAAAGCTTTAGAAACAGATGTTAAAAAAATAAAGTACAAATGTACAAATACTGTACAAAAACTGTATTTTTTGGGATAATGATTCTGTATTTATTTAAATCTTATATTTTTGAGTTTTTCTCCTACTAAATGATGACACACATCTAGTGTCAAAACTACTACAAATAAACATTTATACTTTTACTATTTTTAGTCGACATGTCGGCAACAAATTCGAATATTGTACAACTTTAAAACAAGTATTAAGTACACATTTAAATTTAAAAAAAACAAAATGCAATCGAGTATTACCTGTGGAACAATCAAAATATCGCTGCCACATAAGGTATCAATAGTATCAAGAAGTAACCTTTCCAAGTTTTGGCATGGCTTACTAAGAATAAACTCATATCGCAGCATATCACAAAGTTCCAATGAAATATTTATGAGATCATGCTGCATCACTAGCCCATTGTTATGATTTTGAAGATACTCCATACAAGTTACTAGAGAAATGTTGAAGTGAATTTTAAATATAACATTGAAAATAATAAGTATATTAATATTGGCATAACCATAAAAATTGTCTCAAACTATACTTGTATCCTCAGTATTAAAAAAATATAATATTGAGTTTGATTTCGTAGTTCAAATATTATTTTGTAGTACCAATATTAGCTTTTGAGAACTTTTTAATATCTAATGATGATTTTTTTAAAATGTATTACTTTTTTATAGCTCTTAGAAGCTATTAATAATATCTGCACCGCTATATATTGCTAATTAATAAAAATTCTGACAAATATAGATGTAAGAATCGCTATAAATCTGTTTTAATTAAAATATTCCTTCACTTACCAACAACTGATTTCAGTGCATAGAATGGAGTAAGGCTATTTGAATAATATGATAGTTCTATAACATTTGGAAGGGCAGTTACTGGTTTAACATAGACCTTATCATTTTTTATTCTCTTTTCTATCAAATCTGAACCTAGTAAACTCACCTGTATAAATTACATTCATTATTTTCTTGATATATGGTATTATATTATATATACATTACTATCAGACACTTACAGCATAATCCAGAACATCGATTGATTGTCCAGAAAATCCTAAATTTCTAGAATCTGATTCTAATTCAATACGCAACTGGTCTAGTTCTGTGGCCAGTTCTTCCAAATAACACCCATCTCTATGTCGAGTCAGTAGAAGAAATGCTGCTGCATTTGTTGACATAACTGCTGTTGCTTTTGCACTATCTAAAGATAGATATATATTTTTTTAAATATACATTACAAATCCATATTTTATAACAAATTCTGAAAATATTAAGAAGTTTATTGGAATTAAAAAGAAATATATAGTAAAATTAGTTTCAATTGGTACTAATTAAAATAAAATCATCAGTAAACAAATCAGAGATTTCATTTCCTACTTTATTACCATAAACAATGTGCCTTCCAATGGAATCAACAAGAGTTCTAATTTCTTCCTGAACAACATCTGTCCCATATAAACTAGTAGTAGATGTTTCATGACGTAAACATCTATCAGCAGGGTTAATACTTCCAATTTCTGTCAGTTGTCTTTGCTGTTCTAATTGCTGACGACTCCTAAAAGCCTCAATTAGATCCTGTGTTAAAATAAATTATTATGAAAGCACTGAATATGTTATAAAACCAATGCAATCAACCACCATCATGATCAGTACAGATTTATGTAAGTTTTTAAATAATTGTTTTAGTGATACTGGCTGATTAATAAAGAAATAATCATACCTTAATTGATAAAGGTTCATTAAAATCGATACGCATTACTCCATAATCACTGTGTAGCGTAGTCCAAATGGCACGAACAGCAGAACTGAAACTTTCTGCACTTTTGCTACGTCCTAGCTGTTCACTAATAAAATTACCATCGACCAGTCTTTCATAATGCACTGAGACTGGAATTAAAAGGGCATCCGGAATTGTTCCATCCAGATAAGCATCAACAATGACACTTAAAATACCACCTGAGAATAATTAATAATTATTGATTTCCCAATATTATTTAGGATATAATTGTGTGACATTCAATAATACCTTTTGGCATACACGGTTTTCCAGTTCTTGTTCTGCCTCCCTCAATGAAGAACTCAACATTGTGTCCGACACCAAGACACTTTTGCAAATATGTATGTAATACAGCTCTATAATAATAATTTAATTATTATAGATATTCACATATAATTTTTTTTATTCAACAAAATCTCTATTTATTATTCTATATAATTGCAGTTGTTAATATTAATATATTTATATCTTGTATTAAATATTTCATTGTAGTACAAATCAATGAATTAAAATTAAATATACCGATAAACATGATCTTTCTTTCCATCTGCTGGATCAATTCTTCTTTTTATGTAGAACGCTCCAAGACCTCTCAATAATGATCTAAAAACATATAAAATAAAAGTAAATTTAATATGTATTCTACAATAGATCATAGTAAACAAAATTGAGAAAAACCAACCCAAAGAACGGTATACGCAAATTGTTGCCAGCAGCCACAAGTGGTGATCTAATGTTATTATTTAAAAGAATAAAACTGATAAGAATATAATCAAGATGACTTCTATGAAGAGGCATGAAAATAAGTGGTGTGTCTTTTGCAGATTCGGCAACATCCCGTAGCATATCAATTTGTGCTGGGTGAGCTGCGACACCACGTAAGAAACAAGGCAGTAATTTATATAGCATCCAGGAAGTAACTCTAAAATATAGATTGCGTTATACTAACTCAAATACATTCATATAAAATATAGCACATGTGATAGCACAATCAATTGTTAATGATTTCTAATAACAAATTAGTACCTAAGCATAATATCAGAAAGTTTGCTTCTCATATCAAGCAATATTCGCTTTGCTCGTTCCTCATGCTTTCTCCTTATTTCTTTAATTCGTTTATTGTTGAAATCTAAATAATTTGATGAAAATGTAGAATCGTCTGATGAGCTATCAGCATCGAAACTGCTATCTTTATCAGTTGGTTCCTTTTTCTTAAGTTTTTCTTCATGTAAAGTGTCCAAGGTCGCTTGATCTAGAGCACGATTTAATCGCTCTGTTCCGAGCACCTACAAATAACAAAAAAGTTAAATCAAATAACTGGCATTCAATTTTTAAATTTTTGCTCTATTTGTATGTAATATGTATTGTTAGGTTCTCTGTATAACTTACCATTCCAGAAACCTGTGGATAAGGAAATTTTCGGCAAGCTAGAGCCTGAGCTATATGGGGTGCCCATGTCGCAAAAAATGAGTGCGAACCTTGGGTACTATATGGTACTCCATTACCAGCACCACGAAGAACATCCCTTACGACTTTACTATGCCTTAGTATTGGATCGACCCGTGATTTCTGTAAAAAAAAAATATAATACATTAAATTAAATAAAAAAAAACATTGGAAGTATTAGAAAAGAAGAGTTTATCACTTACAGCTGTAGAAGGAGAACAATCCTTGCAAGCAAATCCAGTTAAAGGCTTCGAAGGTAAACTATACCGTGTAGGAGGCTGTTCTTTTATCTGGTATAAAAGATTTTCGCGTATCTTCAAATCGCAATCCTTGTCCATCATCCGCCTCTTCCTCTTTTGATCAGAAATATTTCGTAAAGCCGCAGCAGAACGCAATTCATTGCACTCCATGCTGGCATTCCCAGAGGGAGCAGACCACATTCGCTCTGCCACTACACCTACCATTGCTGTCGCTCTGAGAAAATATTCGATAATTAATAATCAATTGTATCAACTGATGTAAAACCTATGTATGACAATCGATGTGGATAATAATGGTTTTCGAAATTATTTTCAAGAAAATCTTCTTAAACAAAAAGAAGGTAATTATTTTAAAGTTCTATTCAATTCGGAGAGTGTCTTACAGAATTTATTTGGATACAGAGACCGAATTTGCCTTGAATGAATCGTGTATTCTGTGTTCTCAATTTTTTATTTAAAAAAATCTATTTAAGAAGTTATTAGCAACAGTTTTGTAGTGTTACGTGCAAATAATATTTTACATTTTCGTACTATTATTGTAGATAACATAGGTTAAAACGTCTGAAATATTTAAGATACTTCAATTTTTTTCTTCTTTAGTTGATGTCATGCTTGTCTAAGTACTTATCCATACATTTCAACATCAAAAGCTATTATCTATTGATTGATTTAGTCAATTAAATCAATCAACTATTGATTGATTAATTAAAAGTAATTAATATGACATTCATGATACAATGTTATCTAGTTTTTATTCTCAAATCCAGCATTATTAATTGAATATATTAATTCATTTAGTTTTTTTAAATATTTCTCGTTATACGAGAAGAAACTCATATATTGAAGAAAACTAAACTATTGAAGCATATCATACAAATATGAACTATTGCACTTTAATTAATAATTTCCAAAAATCCAACCAAAAAAATATAATAGTATAGGTTATCATATTTCAGTAGTCAAGAAAATAATTCAAAACAGGTACAAATTCTCAGTGAAAATATAGTTTGCTCTCCAAAGCTTGTAACATTTTACATATGATATAATTTTGTCCCCATATATTCCCTATGAAAAAGCTACAGATGAGCCATTTTCACTACATATTAATATTCTACTATATACTAATTTAGTATATAGTAGAATATATAGTTAGTATATTAGTCCAGTCATTCTGGTAAGTTTACCTCGGAATTCGAGATACCTAGCTGTAAGTCTGTAAACACTTGTATATTGACACTTTAAAGTTGTCTCAAAACCTACATATTGTGGTATGTTACCTGTGGTAGGGTGGTATCGACACCCTACCATATGTAGGTTTTGAGACAACTTTAGAGTGTCAATATAAAAGTATTTACAGACTTGCAGCTGGGTATCTCGAATTCCTAGATTCTTACCGAGATATTTAAAAGACTGGACTATATAGTAATATATAGTTATGTTAAATTCATATCGTTACCATTAAGTCTATCAAAAAAAGTTTTAACAGTGCCTAAACGCGCTATTTTACAATACATACATCCTGAATTAATATTATTAATGTTTAATATATTATAAAACTATAAATTTATATTACCTTGCGTTGAATAGCCAGTAAAGAATAGCCAAACATATGGCAACTTCTATAACTCCTGCCATTCCGCAAATAGCGTTAGCAAAAAAATAATCGAAATTAAGTTTAGCAATTACACGATAAAAGTTTTTAATCACAATTAAAATAAAAAATATATTTATTAAATAATATAGCAAAGTGTACAGAACTTAATCAACGTAATATTTCATAACATGTTTTTTATGTAGTGATAAATATTGTTTAAGCAAATGATTTTGAGTTTGTAGGTCATTTCACAAAATATTATTTTATAATCAATAATTAATTAATGTTCGATGACGAGGTTTCATGTTTAATTTGATCAACTTAACATACACCAGAGAATGATAAAAATAATTTTTAATTAAAAAAATCACATTATAAACACACAAATTTCATTTAAGTTTTTATCACTAATGCCAAAACAATGCACCAAAAACAACAATAAATTTCCTTTTCATTCAACAAGCATTTATTGAAATAGCATATATGTACGTTATAAACATAACAAACTCTATTGGAAAATTGTAATGCCAATTGATATATTCATTGCAAACTGATTGTTCAATGTTGAACTTGCGGCAACCGTATGTTATGAATATGCAGAAACAAACCATATAGTAACTGTATGTTGCGCAAGGTAGAAGAATATCTGAATAAAATATTATTTATAATCTTTATTCGAGTTCAAAGTCAAAAGTTAAAGGTCGCTAAAACACACGATAGATATGCGATACGCGATAAAAACGATAAATAAAAACAGTGCATAAAAGATTTGAAGCGATTAAAAACCATATCAGAAATAGAACTATTAAAAAATAATTGGGGAATATTTAATCTTAGAAAATGCAATCTATTTTAGATAATTTTGTGTTATCAGTAATAGAACTACAATTAGTGCCTCGTTAATATGTGAAACTTACAACAATAAAAGTATAAACAAAGTTATTAGGAAAATTATCATATCAGGCGGTAATTATTGCCAGGAATGGTATTTAACTTGAAACTGCGGAAATCAAGTTCAAACATAACGAACTAAATAGACTTTTATGCAGCAAATTCAATTTATCGTCGATACTCTAAAAAAAATTCCAATAATTTAAATAAATAAAGAAAAATTTACAAAACATAACTCTTGCAAACTGTAACCAAACTAGAAAAAAAAAGTTCTTTTACGTGAAATCAGCTGAAATTCAACAAATTTTTATGGACGCTGTCTGACGACAAACAAATAATACTTTTATACCCTTAATGATCTCAAATTTAGATTTCTGAAACTTATCTACATAATCAATAGAAATTAGGATTTGAGATAGATACTTGAGGCTTATTATTCCAAACTTTAATTTATTTTTATAATTAAATAATTAAACCAATTATTTCCTAGGTTCAAATATCTAAAGATGTTCGTTAAGACCATGACCTCTACCATCATAATTTCTTTTTAATCAAAATCACATTTTTTTCAACAATTAATTAAGAAAACTAATTGGTGCCAGTAATAGCACAAATTTCCAAACGATATTTTTTGTACAAATTTTCAAAATCGGTTCAGGATTTTTTTTACTAAAACTTGGACAAAATGGGATTTTGCGCTTTTTTGCTAATTCCAAAGAAACGGCTCAGCTGATGGACTCGCAAAACTAACCAACGAGAGTCCTTATGGAGTTTTAGGAATGGTTGTTAAATTTTTTAAACCAGTTCAGGCGTTTTTGAGAAAACGTTCATTCAAAAACACAAAAATTCGTACTTTTCTCCAATTTTAGCGCCAACAGCTTGAAACGTCGAAATAATATATAACATTAGCAAGTCGGATTTTCTGGAGTAAACAATTCTTATTTGAGTAATTAATCATAAAATCTTTCACAAGAGATCAGCTCAAATTGATCAAATTTTTATAAATGTTGTTTTGACTGCAGAGAAGATAATACTATGCAATTGTTATCTTAATTGTCTAATTTTAAATTTGGAATTTTTTAAACTTATCTGAATAACTGATAAATTGTAATAAATCATCATTATCATCGATAAATTTTCCTATTGATCTTAAAAACGATTAAATTAAGGGGGAGCCTGCTTTAGTGGCTTCAAAAAATCGCTTTTTTTGAGGAATTTTAGGGAAGGAAATAAATATTTAATTGAAACGAAACTTTCAGGATTTATTGTTATATATTTCAACATTCTTCTGGATTTTTTTCATTGGAATATATGACATAATATGCTGGGTATGCAACAGATGCAGGTCACTAATTACATCCCTCGCCCGTAGGTAAGCGGTTAAGAGCGACGGGGCTTATTTCAGAAGTCCCGGGTTCGATACCCACTTCGAGCAGCCTGTTGTCAGGCAGCAGTGACAACGATTTTCACTTGGAAATATAGATAGCAATATGTTTCCAAGTGAAAATAGCCCTTGCCCGGCATTGCTGCACCAATAAAAAGTCAGCCCGATTAGAATAATTCTAATAACAAAAATCATCAAATATGGATAGATTAACCATTTGGTTACCATCTAAAAATACGAAGTAAGAAGAAGTTTCAACCCAATAGCTCATAGGACGTAAGGTTCTGATTGCTGTTAAAAATATATAAAAAAAAACTATTTCCATCCGAAACAAAAAATCAAAACAAATATGTATTTTCAATAGTATAGATTCTAGTTGAACCTAAAAAATCCAGACAAAAATGAAAAATTCACCAATTTTTCACAGCTTGAAAAAAAAATCACGTTTTTTGATACAAAATTTCACTTTAGATTGTTTAAAAAGTGGGTTAATTATAACTATTTTTTAGTTTTTTTAGGTTCAATTAGAATAGAATTTAATCCCAAATACAATGAATTTTGTCTCGTTTCGATAGGACGTTTAGTTTTTCTTCTATCTTTCCCGCCACTTAGGAAGAATCAAAAAAATTCAAAACCGAAAAAATTCAAAACCGAAAAATCGCGCGTCGAAGTTTTCGTTTTGCTCGTATACATGCTTGACGCTTGATCACTATTTCTTCTGTAATTCCGAAAATAATTTGAATTTGTTTCTCAAATTTTAGGAATATATTTTTTTGACTAGTTTTGGAAGAAATTTTAGCAATAAAAAATCGATTTTTTTAAAGCCCCCCTTAAACAAGGAGTTATAAATTTAACATATAACAGGTGCTTTTCTTTTCTGATTTTTTTTTTTACCTTCACAAAGTGTTAAACATGAGCGGTGTGTCATGAATAAGCCAGTCACTGGCCTATAATTGAAATGCTTCATCCATACTGATGAATTATTTCATTGGTATTGGAGATCTTTTGTCTAGCATTCAATGATAAATTTCGCACCACGTTACAAACTACTAATGCATATGGTGAGGTTACTGAAATGTTTGATGTGTATTTACAGTTAAAACGTGTTGGGAATCTTTAAATCCTAAGGTTATTAGAAACAATAATGAAAAAAATGCTTTGTTAAATACATTAAAAAATTGATAATCTCTGGATATCTCTCCATGATATATGATCATATAGAAGATTATTCAGGTTATTTCACCAATTATCATCTAATTGATATATTAATTGATATCCAATGCCAAGGTTTCATGCGTTGACTTCATATTCACTAGAAAATTACATTTAGAATTATTAATTTTAAAATCATATTGTTGCCGTTCACAAAAACATGTAATATGTTAGGAAAAGGTAAAAATGTATGTATTATGTAAGAAAATGTGAAATGCCTAGACAATAATATAGTAGACAGTAAAACTACTTACCAGATCTCCGAAACCGCTAGACCTGCTTTCCCAAAAATTTAACCTATCTTGTCAATACAAGTAAAATGTTTTTTTAATTATTAAAATCGGACGCTCCGTTCTCTTAAGAACTGAGTTACCGTTTTTGGCACACTTTGCCCCGTATCTTCGAAACGGCTAGACCTGTCTATGCCAAAACTATTCACCACGTCTCCTTATTAATAGGAATCGAATGTTTTTTGAATCAATGAAATCGGTTGAATCGTATTCCCGAAATCGTGTCGACGAAAATTTGTATCCGCGCACACACACGCACACACATCCATTTTTCCTAAGGTATGCCAAAATGTTCAGAAACCTTTAAAACGTAAAAATGTATAAAAATTTTCATTTTCGATTAATGGAAGTTAATAATGCTTCCGCTTGGAAATACCATAGTTTGCAAACAATTTTAAAAATATTTAAGATATTTAAATGAATAAAAGATAAGTAACAATAACAATAATGATGATACCAGAAAATGGTAGATTAAACATTGTTATTCGAATTGTTAATATATAAAGACGATCACATACGCAATAAACGTTAAAATAATAATACATTCAGACAATTACAAAAGCCGCCTTGAGGATCATCCAATCCTACTTTCCTCAGAACTACACGACAACAATGCCACAGCAAAATTGAAAAAGAAATTCAGGTTACATTAACATATGTCGATTTTCACCTCTGATAATGGTCAGAAAATTTTGTATTTTTGAAGTCTTTTTTCCTACAGTTTTACTTATTGACCATTTAAAGTCAGATGAAAAAATTACTATATAATAATGAAAGTGAAAAATCAAAAATCACATTGTAGTCGTTCATATCAATAAAGTTTCCTTTTTGAAAAACCATATTTTGCAAAATGAAAGTGGTAGAAACAATGACAATAATGATAATTTTAGTGAATGGTAGAATTAAACCATGTTACTAATTGATAGAATAAATTAAATATCATTGTGAACGTTTCATATGCTTGATAAAGAGTAAAAACTGACGAATATATACAAGTAGAAAGTTTTCATATGGGTTTTAATTTTTTTTAAATATTGTTTGTATATAGCAATCATAACTCAATCTGTCCTATAAGCTCTGGTGCTAAATTCTTAAACAACCTGATTTTATAGATATCAACAAAAATGGTTGTCCCAGAAATCTCAGCATAATGAATTTATTATTACAATTTCTATAAAATTGATGTTTTTTTTATTGATGGAGCAATGCCGGCTCCATCAATATTGCTATCTATATTTCCAAGTGAAAATCGACATCACTACTGCTTTACACCAGACTGTCCAAAGCGGGTACTGAACCTGGAACTTTTGATTCAAATCCTGTAGATTTAACCACTAATAAACGGGAGATCTCGAAACGGGAGATCTCGAAACGGGAGAGCCCGAAAATATTTCATTGTTGTCTAATCTAACATATGAGTTTTTTTTTTCTAAATTCTGAGCTGAAATTTTCTAACATTTCGAAATTTGACATCAATACTAGACAATATTACAGTATCAAAATATTGTTTTGATTGGAAAAATAAGTGAAGAGTTTAAATTGTTCCAGTCATGTATTGTACAATAAAAACGTGCTAAGTAGATTCTTATTTGTATTGCATTTAGTTGAAATCTGAAGATATTTCGAGTATTCAAGTTAATTCATATGATATATTACAAAAAATGCACAATAAGCATACCTTATAAAGTGCTAGTGAGCAAATTTGATTCACATTTAAACATGATTTTTATTAAATTTTGTAAATGCAATTTATTTATGTAGAAAAATAAAAATAACAATGATTTATGTAATGAACATCAATTTTATTCAAAGTAAAACAAGATTTTTGACAAGTATGAAATTTAATAACCACAATCACGCAAGCAAATTATGAATAGCGTTAATTGAAAGTAAAATATATTATGTTGCATATATTTCTATGCAAAATTATAATCTGTGTGGGATTTTGCGTTGTAATTCAAATTTAGGTTAGGTTAAGTTAAATGATACCTGACATTTTTCTTTCAAACTTTGACAACTTATACGTTTGCTCTTCATTGTTTTCAGTACTTAAATATGCACAAGTATAAAAAATATGTTGAGGATAAAAATTATAAAGGCTTCTGTGAACTTTTTGAAGTATCGAAATGTATGACATTAAAAATTATTATTAAATGCTCACCAATAACTTGATGTATGTATACTTTGCAGTTTTGATCGCATGAGTATTTGTACACTATAATTAACAATATAACCAAACACTTCACTTTATTATTTCAGTTTCCTTAGTTCAGTCGAAATGAAAAAAAACGTAAAAAATATTGAAATTATTGCCGCTTGTTATTGTCATGAATTTTATTTAGTAAACATAAATATACAAGTAGATTAAAAGGCACATGTAACGTTACTGCAACTGTCAAATACTTTAACCCCTCTCCATAGAATAGACATAACGTCATAGATCGTACGTGTTTGACTATTTGACAACCTATAGCGGACCTCTGTGGAGAAATGGCGGAACTATGGTGAAATTGAATCAAAATTTTCCGAATCTGCAAACCGTTTTCGCGTCTTAAAATATAAAAATTATTTACAATATCACTTGAAAAACAAAATATTTTGTAAAATACACTTCAATTATGTGTTTTATTTTCATCCAACGATTTCCATCGTCGACAGATTTAGCAAACGGCCAACAGATGGCACTATTATATATGGCGCGTAAATTTTCTTTTAGTATCCCAGCTACAACTGTCACTGAACAGCTGAACAGTTAGTAACTTTTATGAATTATGATCGTTAACAATATTTACCAGTATGTTGATAGCAATCCTATAATAATATAAAGTACTAGCAAAAAATGATATTGAATAAACTGGAAAATCAAACTATGTACCGTATTACTATATAGTTTTTAGCCATTGGAACTTGGCCTTTTGATGGGGTATGACCACACGTCGAATGGAGGCCTTTTCTTGGGACAATTAAGATGATCTTAATTTTTTGGAGATGTACGATTATCGTTTTACAAGACTCAATAGCAAGCGCTATCATGTTCTTACAGGAAAATAGATGACATTCTGCGTTTTAGGTAAGAGACCAAATTGGTGGCAAAACATTTGGAGAATAATCCATTTTTCTAGCCACCATGTTGGTTAAATCGACATAATATTTTTTTACATATATAATATTTATGTATCATATAATATATGTCACATTTGCATAGATACATATATTTATACTCACAAATCCATTTTCCGAATTCTATCTATTATAATCACGTTTTAATTGATAAATTTCACAAAATACTTTTACAATTGCTACTTCAACAAAATATTATTTTTTTGGACCACTACCAATATATTAATATAAGTGCGTTATATTCTCATATTGTCTAGGATCATTACCAACATAATAAAAAGTGAATTAAATAAAAAAGTAAATTAAGGAAATATAACAATACTGGTTGTCTAGACAATATTAATATATAATTATTATTATTAAATTTAATTATTATTAAAATAAAATATATTCATATTGACAAGCTGTTAGCAGCATTTTGACTTAAGGCAAGTTGCATGAACTTGGCGGTATGTGTAAATTAATTGACTTAATCAACAAGTATTAGAAAAAACGTTCAACTGTTTAATTTTAAATTATAGATTTCGTTTTCATTAAAGACGATTTTCAATTGATATCTTGGAAACGTACTTATAATATCTGTAATTGTATAAATTAAATAATTTTTTTCTCACATTCCATTTTATCGTTTTCGTGTCTGAAAATAAATTTTATTTAAGAGCGGACGTAAACTGTAATCAGTAGCTTCATACAAAACACCACAGATGTTTTGGATTAGATTCTGATTAGAATCGATCAAGAACGCGGCGAAATTCTAAATTTTCATGATTTTTTATAATTCATTGCATTATTTTTCAAATTCATTAAGGCTTAAAGGTAAGGTGACCATTTATGAAGTCAAATCCGGGGCAACAATTTTTAGTTTTGCGATTCCTGGATGGGAAATAAATGCTATTTAGGGATACAATAAAAAAAAGTTTTTTTTATTGGAATCATTTTTTCAATCAGAATTGCGGACTTTTAGTAAGATCTTTATTATTCCATTATATGTAATACTTTTTTATCTATATTATATTACATCATATATTTTGCGATCCATATGTTTTTTTTTTGCTTTTGAGTCTTGTATAAAATTATATTCATTTTTTTTTAATAATTAATTTTTGAAAATCAGTACTTTTTCGTTTGTTTTCATAATTTCTGTTAATTTACCTATTAATTTTCGAAAAACCGGGACAATCCGGGACAAATATTGTTTTTAGAAAAACCCGGGACACAAAATGGAAATACGGGATTGTCCCGACCAAATCGAGACGTATGATTACCTTATTATAGGGGGAGGGGGTTTGTCAAAAAATCACTATATCTTACGGCGGGGAAGGAGGAGTCTAGTAAGATATTACGCGTATTTATTTTTAGTGAACTTAAAAAAAAAAACAAAATTCAAACAAACAAAAAAATCAAAAAACTTATAAACTAGATACTAATACATGTTATGCACATGTAATTTTAAATATCACTACGTATCGTCAAAGGGGAGGGAAAGTCCAAGAATTCTTAAAAACAGTTCACACGATTAAACGTAGTAGTAAAGTTTGTTCAAAATTGTCAAAAAAAATATATATTTAATTACAAAGAAACGAAGTGGCCGATCTTTTCCAAAAACTAATCAAGCAATTCCCAATTTTGAATTTTGAAAACCTATTTAAGATTGTAGCTTAAATTGAACGAAATATTTTACACTTTTCTGCTAATTACAAAAAGAAACGGATTGGCCGATCGTCGAGCAAAACTGACCAACGATATTAGTCCTTCGAGATACATTGAATGGCTTTTAAATAGGTGAAATCGGTTCAGACGTTTTTGAGAAAACGTCGGCGAAAGGTCAAAAATTCGCTCACATACACACACATACTTCTTCCAAATTTAGTGTCATTCAATTCAGAATTACTCGAAACGACGAAAAAGCTTCAAAATTAGCAATTCGGGATTTTTCGCAAAAATAAATTTCTCCTTCGGAAATTTTATGATGATAATGATTAAATAGAAACCATAAAGACACTTCCTAATTGTATCAATACACCACCATATATTTATATAGAAATGTGATAAAATGTGTGTGCAGTTTAGAATATTACATTTATAAAATGCAACTAAAATACGAGTCAATGAACTAAAACATGTAACCGAAATTATGGCGATTGTTTTTTTTATCATTCTTTGTTATTCGTTTTAATTAATTAGTATATTCAAAATATTCTTGAGTATTGTATGCAAAGCATTTAAATGTAGCATATTCATCTGTACTGATTTAGTTTTATATAATTAGAATAATTTAAAATCTAGCATTTAATTAACACATAATTCTAGCATTCTATTCAGATTTTTTAATATTGTTTATAGTTACAAAATAATATTCAATAAGCTATAATAAGACATTTTTGATGAATTATTTATTTTTTAATTGCAATAATTTTTCGCTTTTTCTTAATTTGTAACACTTAAATAACAATCAAATTTTATATTTTTGTTGTAGTTGCAATGACGTGAATCGTATTTCATTATATATTGTACTTATCAAAATATCTTTAAGATAAAATTATTGATCCTGCAATAAGAGCCTAACATAAGCTTTTAGTAACTATAAATGAAAAATAAATATCGGTATTGTAAATAAAAAAGCTCTAATAAAAAAATGAATATATAAATATATACTTATAATCTAATTCATTTATTGAATATATAAATAAAGTATTATTATATTTATACAATCATATAAATATAACTTATTCAACAATGAAACTTTTTATATTTTATTCATTATGAATTAAATATATTGCATTAAAAGGAATTAGTTAGCTCGATATATCTAATCTAATATAAGATCTATATATGCATTTTTGTGTAAATGTGAATATTCACGAATTTCATGCATTTCGATTTAATCAGCATGCATATCTGTTTGTTAAATGGATTAGAAAATACTGTCCATATTTCTAAGATGAAATATATAAATCATGGGCGTACATATGGCGTACATGTATATGCAAAAACTATTAAAATTTATAAATTACCTAATTCTCCTACGGCATAAGAATAAATTGAGTGAGTTCAATTAAAATTACTTTGCTAATCACCGGTTGATTTTTTGTTTAGTAGGTTAATAACCATAAGAAATAACTTATAATTATTTAGATGTTACGAATAACTTATGTTACGAATAGTCAATATTTTTTTAACTGTAAATTATTTTTTAATTATATATACAGGGTGTTCCAGTCCAGCTGAAACGGGATGATAGTATTGACCTTAACCGTCCTGAAAATTTTAGAAAATAAAATATTTTTCGTTGTTTGGAAATTATGAGCTTTTAAGAGCAACCTAGAGCTTTGGTGAAATTATGACTATTTTTCGGTTATTGTTGTTAGTTTTTATTCATTTTGTTCATTTAAACTTTGGAACAATAACTTGAATAACATTTCTAAGACACAGTAAAAAAATACCGTAATTTCCCAAGCCTTCAAGGAAAATGTTTTTTGTTGAACTTGAATTTAAAAGTTTTAAGTCGGTCGACTTTTGAGAGGTCCTTTTAAATAAAAGTTCGAAAGTGTGTTGGTAAGTCTCAATTGGCGCATTTAATCAGAAATGTAAAATGGTCTAATATTTTATAATTTAATTATTGAAAAGTTTAGAGTAAAAAAATAAAAACCTAAATATGCTATGCTAGTGAATTTTACTCACAATCAAATGTTTGGATAAGCGTTTAAATGAACAAATTCAGTAAAAATCAATCACAAAGACCGAAAAATGTTAATAATTTTACCAAAGCCTTAGGTTGCATTTAAAAGTTCATAATTTCCAAGCATCATGAAGTATTTTTTTTAACTTCCCGAAGGAGAAATTTATGTTTTCATAAAAAAATCCGATTTGCTAATTTTATGTTTTCTCGACGTTTTAAGCCATTCTGAATCGAATGAGACCAAATTTGGAAAAAGTATGTGTGTGTGCGTATGTGTATGTGAACGTTTTTTCGATGTGTGTCGATAAACGACAAGTCGTTTAACTTTGAAAATTCGTCAAAGTTTGCAAAAATTGGTATCGTTTTTTTGGCATTTGTCAAAATTAGACCTTTGATCGACGTTTTCTCAAAAACGCCTCAACCGATTTCAAAAATTTAAAAGCCATTTGATGTATCTCGATGAGGATTATCGTTTCTCAATTTTGTCTAACGATCGGCCGAGCCGTCTCTTTGTAATTTGAAAAAAAGTGTTTTCATCCACATTTAGGCTCAATCTACCTAATCGATTTTAAAAAATCAAAAGCAGTTTGAAAGATATTAGTTGGGAATGATGCTGATTAGTTTTAGGTGAAAATCTACCGATCCATTTTCTTGTAATTAACTGTTGAAAAAAAAAATTTAAGCCGATTTTCATGGAACTTTTTTTGGCGATATATAGCATGGGTCTTATAAAACGTACTGAAATAGTACGGCTCAACGATAAGTAGTTTAATTATAAAAAATCATCAAAGTTTGAGAAAATGAGTAGTTTTTTTGGCGTTTGTTAAAATTAAAATTAGAATATTTACTTGGCATAACGATAGAGTACTTGGTCTTAATGAACATACTAAACCATTAAAGTCCTACGGAAACTGGTTCAATTACAAAAATTGTTTATTATTGAAAATTTGCTTTCTGAAAATACTACGAGTTAACGTGATCGTTTGTGTTCAATTATGTATAATAAATTCACTTGGAATACTTTCAATCACTCATGAATTAATTTATATTTTATTGATTAAGTCGATTATTTATACATATCGGGAAGTTCATGTAACTTGCCTCAAGGCAGAATACCAATACCAACTAGTTCCTAATTTTTTTCAGGACAGTTAAGGGCAATACTATCACCTGTTACGGCTTGACGTTAAGTTCTGGGACACTGTGTATGTGTATGGTGTGTGTGTTTTTGGTTGATTGTTGGTGTGGGCAGCCCGCAATAATATTATTATAATTATTTTTTTTGCATTTTTTATTCATTTATTATTAATACAGCAGTCAGAACAGTAATTAAATTCTATGAACTAATTCAACTAAATAATAATGAATAAAGATAACAACATAAAAATAGTAATAAATAATAATAATAATAAATAATAATTATAAATAATAAAATAATATAATAATAATGCAAAAAATACATAAAATTAACTATCATATTTAGACGATTATAATTACTATTTTCGGATTCAGTTTGTCTGTTTTCCAAGTATTTGCTAGTTTGAATACTACATATAATATTAAATTTTAGCATCATTTGCATATTAAATTTGGCATAACATATAACTGCAAATTGAATCAGTTTAGTTATAATTTTTGTAATGAGCCTTTTTTGCATTTTTATGTTGAACCATTTATTTTCTAACAATATCTTTTACTAGAATTGCATGTGAAATAAAAAATAAACGGTTTGATATAAAAATTTTATGCGCTCCTCTGATTTAACACATAGCAATTATCACAACAAAAAAGATATCACAAAACAGGCGCGAATAAAAGTATCACCCCCGGCACGCGTGCCTTCACACAATTCCATATATCTCCTAAAATATTCGAAAATATGTCTGTTATGTTAGACTTCTGTAATGACTTTATTAGAGCAATGTATCGGAACAGAAGTGGGCGGTGCAGGACACGTTCGGCGTTCGTTCTCAATAAAAACGTCAGGATAATAGGGACAAAAATCATTTGCAGATGCAGCGTGCCGGTCAAATGGTCATTTTCACCCTAAATCAGTTGGCCCGTGCGGTTTAGTTATGCCAGTGTATGAATTATGTTGATTTTGACTTGAATCAAAGCGGGATCGTTAAAATTTTTAATGTTAACATTTTTACTGGGTATACAATATTGTGTTGGAACTATGATTCAATTGAATGCTTGCGATTGTATGGTTCAGATTTTCTATTTTTTTTACAAATAGAATCCTTTATTGATATATTAACTTCCCGAAAAAAAAAGTTTGTTTTCATAGACTGTTGATTTATTTTTGTGCGATGAATCTGTTGTTTGTCAGTTTTGTGCGACGATCCGCCAAGCCGTTCTTTATAAATCGCAGAAAAGTGAAAAAATTTTGTCTACGTTTTAGTCCGCAAAAAAAAAATTTAAGCCGATTTTCATGAAACTTTTTTTGGCGATATATATCATAGTCTTATAGAACTTACTGAAATATTACAGCTTTACGACAAGTAGTTTAATTTTAAAAATTCATCAAAGTTTGAGAAAATGAGTAATTTTTTTGACATTTGTTAAAATTAAAATTGGACGATTTACTTCATATAACGATAGAGTACTTAGTCTTAATGAACATACTAAACAATTAAAGCCCAACAAAAAACTGGCTCAATTATAAAAATTATTGATTTTTGAAAATTTGCTTTTAAAAAATACTCCGACCGGGTTGATGTGTTCGATTATCAATAATGTGTTTTAAATCCACGTCGAATACTTTTAACTACTCATACATTAATTTATCTATCATGGATTAAGTCGATTATTTACACATATCAGGAAGTTCATGTAACTTGCCTCAAGGCAAAATACCAATACCAACTAGTTTGTTTATAATATTAAAATAAAATATCGAAATAGAATGATATTGCTCCCCACAAATATTAAATCAATTCTTTATTATTTTTAAATGTAACAAGTTGTTTGAGAAGAAACATAATTGTAAATAGTTCTTGATTTTCCCTTTATTTGAACTATATATCCTTCATTATTATTTCAAGTATTTTCTTTGTATAACATCACATCAAGAGGCAAGTCTAATTGGCCCAAAGCTAAATCAAATTGATGCTTTGAGTGAACAGTTTCGGATAACGCCTTTCGAATAAATGTTCTACATATGTGTTTAAGACTGAATTTACCTGACTCATTCGAAACAATTGGTTCTATAGCACAACTTTGTGATGCTAACCAGAATATTAGGTCTTCAGAAGCATCTGTAAAAGATGTAGTCAAAGCATAAGGAGAGCTTTGAACTGGGCATTCTATAAAAGGTATATCAATTCCAGCATCACTATAAGCTGAATCGTCTACAAAATGCACGTCAATTCCAGCATCACTCAAAGCTTGGACAAACTCTTTCACATAATCCAAGTTGTATCTAAGATTTGATGCAATTTGAACAACTCCTGTAGTTTTCAAATGTTTATTCGAGTGTAAAATTTTAATTACGATTTCCGAATCAGTACACCACATATTGAACAAAAATTGTGCATAATACTGCAATTCATCACCAAGCAAAGGGTTTATACCTTCTTCAAGTAATTTTTGGTAAATATCCATTTTATTGGCAAGTCTAGCATCCCATAAAGCAGTATGATTATCACATGATACATTCAAATTAGCTCCTGCTTTTATTAAAATATCTACAGTTTTTAAATCACACGAATAACTAGCTTCCATAATTGAATACGCACCACGGTAATTACTTACATATCAACAATATCTTTATCAGCTCTCACTAACATTTCTATAATTTCTGATGAAGTACCGGGTACGCAAGCCAAATGTAATGCGGTATCTCCACAAGAATTTTGAATATTCACTGAACAACCTGCATCCAATAACAATATAAGCATTTCATTATATCCCATTTGTACTGCATTATGTAAAGCAGTATCGCCACTGGAGTCTGTTTCATTTAAATCGCAACTTTTGTCTATAGCTTCTATCAATGCATCGATATCATTTAATAACACTGCATCTAATGCACTAGGTACAATATTCTTTGCACCAGCTTTTAAAAGTTCATTTACTATATCATTGTTATTACTCCATCTTGCATACCATAATGCAGTCAAATTCTCATTGTAACTTTTTCAAGATCAGAGCCATATTCCAATAATAATTTCACAACATGAACATTTGAATATGCGCATGCTATCATGAGAGGGGTTTCTCCTCGCTTGTTAATAGTATGCACAGAAGCGCCTCGTTCCAATAATTCTTTAATTATATCAAGTGATTCAGTTTTGTAGCATGCTAAAGATGATACAGTATTTCCATTTTCATTTTCTGCAAGTAGATCGCACTGAACATCAAGAATAAGTTTAATCATTCGAATATTATTATGCTCTACAGCTTTGAACAGGGTCCAGTTTATAGCATTTTGATGGTGGTCATGATTTTTACAAATATCTGAGAAATATGTGATAATTTTCCGTAACCCTTCTTGTAATCTTTCTTCATCATTATCATGTATTGCATGTAATGTGGATTGTTTCTCCATTTCACACATCAATCAATTCAATACATTTCTTAAAGAAAAAAGTTGTCATTCATTGACAACTAAAAAATTATCATTTTGTATATTGACACTTGTGAAATGTTTTACCGGGAAGCTAATTTTGACATATATTTAAAATTTCTGAATAAATGTTACTGCCATTATTTATGAACGATATTGTGAACTTCAATTGTATACGGAAGTATGGATTCATATTTTACGTATTGCTTTTTAACCAAGAACCACCAACAAACTGTCAAAAATACAACGTAATAATTTAACGTATTTAATACTTAACCGTGGATTAATGGTTACTAGTATTTTTTTAATGAGCTTTCAACTCAAAGAACCAGGTTCAACACCCGTCTCGGACAGGCTGATGTCATGCAGCCGTGGCATTGGCTTTCACTTGTGAATATAATTAGTAATATGCTTTCCAATAATTATTGCATCTAATATAAAGTCATTAATATTATAGTTGTTCTAATAATAAATTCATCCAAATGAGATAAGACCAACTGTTGGTTTGCCTCATAAAGCCACGTCAATAAAGTCACAACAAGCTTGAACGACTATTAAGTTCTGATTGCTGTGAATAGAATAAAAAAAGTTTTTCCCATTTTATGTATATCAACTGATACATCAAGCATTTTGATATCCTAATCCATAATATACTGTTTCAGCATATCATTCTTATAGACTAAGAGCCCGTGGACGGATGACAGTATGTATTTTACGACACCTGAAATTTTGTGCATCGATTCCTCTATACCTATCCTACATGAGATCGGGACTGACTAAGTCCAAAGTGGCGAACACAGCTACTGCGCAGCTGGTGAAGGTACCTTTTTTTTTCACCCATTTCCAAACCATTTTACGACGGCTGCCGTTTCGAAAATTTGAAAATATAATATTATTACTATCGGAAAATACCAATGGCAGACGATCATCGCGCGGTTAACATGGTGGCAGACGATTTTGAAAATGCAGAATTTTTTTTTTTGGTTATGTTGGTACGCCAGTACACGTCTGCCGTGATAAGTATAAGCTTTTGATACTATAAGGAATAAAATATGTAAATGGCAGACATCATCAGATTCATTCAAAAAAAAAAAAATTCTGCATTTTCAAAATCGTCTGCCACCATGTTAACCGCGCGATAATCATCTGCCATTGGTATTTTCCGATAGTAATAATATTATATTTTCAAATTTTCAAAACGGCAGCCGTCGTAAAATAGTTCGAAAATTGGCGAAAAAAGGTACCTTTACCAGCTGCGCAGTAGCTGTGTCCGCCACTTTGGGCTTAGTCAGTCCCCATCTCATGTAGGATAGGTATAGAGGAATCGATGCACAAAATCTCAGGTGTCGTAAAATACATACTGTCATCCGCCCACGGGCTTTTGGTCTATTATGTTTGTCAGTAGTTTAAATATAAATAGATAGAAGATAAAAATAGTTTTAACTTCCATAAAATTGTAATAATCTTTTTTAAATATTATAATTTTTATAAATTTCGTTAAAAAATAGTCAAAGCTTTTGTGCTTTACAAAATATTGTCAGCAATTGGTAAAGTTTTTAATGGAAACTCGTTCTAATCATGTCTATAAAGATCATCGATAAAATATAAAAGCAATAATTTGTTTATTAATTTTGACAAAAGTCAGTATAAAGGTAATTAAATTAAATATGCTCGCTATAGTCAAGATTTCTAGTAGGATAGAGCATAGCTTGAAGATACGCGGGTAAAAAGGTCCACCATTAATATCTCAAAAAAGCAAAGTTATGAATTTTTAACAACAATATTTGAAAGCAGAGGGTAAAAATAAGTGATCAGCCATCACTTGAAATCGAGGTCGCTGTCAGGAGATAATTAGCCAAAACTGTTTTTTTTTTGTTGTTAGTTTTTGTTTATGCACTGTGGTTTAGTTTACGAGTCATAAATGTAATTTTCAAGTATTCGTTATTTATTTGTTTTATAAGATGCATTGTTAATTTTAAATTAGTATCACTTGATTTTTATGTTACTTCTTTAAAAGCTTACATGAGGGTGAAATAAAAAAGACCAACTGAACCTTTACCTTTGCAAAGGCATAAGCAATAAAAATTAGTAAATGACAGTTTTAGAAGAAATAAATTAAATCATGTCATTCCAATTCTGCTGATGAATATTTCTAACAAAATACCAAATCAAGATTATATACAGTGTCATCTTTGTAAAAAATGTGCCCATGAAAACTAAATTTTTCATTGGTTGTTTATTGTAGTTATTATTTCGTAAAAAATTTGTATATTTAAAAATAAGACATTGGATTTATTTGCCCTCTGGCTTTCCCATTTTACCCCGGCTATGGAGTAAAAAAGGTCAGATGGCAAGTTTTAGAAAAATGGTAAAAAAATACGTTACTATAATTAACTGAGAATTTTGAGAAAGTTGTTCATTTAATACGTGTTATGTGTTGTTTTGAAGTTTATTTGATTTAGACAGAATATTTACTGAAAGTTAAATTGGACTTTTGTGCCCCACCATACCCTATAACTTTATTTTGACCTGTTATTGCACTAATTCATTATTTATAATTTGCAAAAAATAATAATTGGAAACTTGTTCGCAAAATGGTAATTAAAAAAATATATATCTCACTATTGGTCTAATTCTAAGAAAATAAAGCGAATGATAAAAAATATTTATTACATGCATATACGATTTTAATCAATTATAAATGTATGGTGGTAATATTCTAAATGCAGTAATAAGGATTATATTTCTTTCTCCAGCATTTCCATTCCGTAACCACTGCTCTCACGACTTCCACGAAGCAAATATTAAATTGAAATTAAATTATAATCAAAATAAATAAGTTCGAAACTGTGTGATTTGATTATGCAAATACTGCTTGTCATTAAAATTAAATATCAACTCCAGCGGAGCGTCACGATTCAAAATATCAACTGTTTCGCGGTCTCTCCATTATTTCAACAACGTAATTCGGATTGTTCGTTCACACTTGGCTGACTATAATTATTTTATGCAAAATGAACATAACTCAATCACAATACCAATATCTGGTAGAAATTCTGTGTCAATGTTATGTTATTATATTCGGCGTGCGATCAAATCTATTGATACAAAAAACGAGGGGTTGCACGCACTGAGGATATGTGATACAACCAAAAAATATGTTTTATTTAAAAACGAACAGTTCTGTATGTTCTAGTAACTCAGAATTATGATTTTTAATTTGAAACCTTATTCTGCATGCTATTGACATATTTAAGATATATTTAACTATTTAACATAAGTTAAAATTCAATTAAAAGATTTATTATATTAGTAGTAGTATGTCTCATGCACTTCACGAAGGAAGTTTGCCAGAAAATTTGATTTTATATTCTCTCGGCATTTCAAGTTATTCTGTATCGTTTGACACCAAAATCATAAAATGTATATGCACGTGAAAAAATATTGACATTTCTTCGACGTTTTTCCAAAAACTGCTGAATCCTTTGAAGGCCTTTCGATGAAATTCTATGATGACTCTTTCAGTCAAACCGTTTCTTTACAATTAGCAGATAAGTGCAAATTTTTTGTATGTTTTTATTTCAGAAATCTTGAACCGATTTTGAAAGATATCTGTTGGCGATTCTGCTGATTACTTTTTGGTAAAGGTTGGTTGGACTTACTAAATTTTTTTAAACTATTTTGATGATATTTTACGTGATGCTAGAATTTATGATCTTAAGAAACATTCTAAAATATTACAAACCTACAAAAAATAGTTTATTTAAAAAAATAAATAAATTTAGGGATATTGGGCTGTATCAATTTCAAAAACATATTTTCACAAGTTTAAAAATGACCAAATCTTATTCTTGGACATATCTATATTTTGCAACTTGCTTTAAAGCAAATAGTCCAGTCAATTAAGCTTATGTGTACTGTACACCCTACCATATGTAGGTTTTGAGACAACTTTTAGTGTCAATATACAGATTTACAGCTGGGTATCTCGAATTCCGAGGTGAACTTACTATAATAACTGGACTAAAAATAACATTTACACCTAGTTCTTGTCATATTTAGATAAAGTGAATTATAGCGATTATCTTCACAAATACATATTTGAATAATTATAATCATTTGTTGGATATATAGTAAGCCAAATTAGTCCTATTATCAATCTGAGAATGCACTAGGTCTTCTTATTACACTTTACAGTTTCCAAGTTTTTTCTTCAGTTAGCAGAAAATCTCTGATGATTTCTATCTAAAATTAACTATAAAATTGTTTCGAAATTTACCTTCTCAACATAAATAATATCAGTACCATATTCACGCCCCAAGCAAGTTGCACAATATATTGATCCCTTCTGTAAACCACAATTGGCACTATCATTAACACATCTGTCAATTTGGATTCTTTTGTGGTTGTGATCACACACCTAATATAATTTTATTATTGTGTATTATCAGAAAAAATCATTCTGTGAAGTAAATTATAATTATAATTGGGTGCAAGTTCCATTTTGCAAGTTGCAACAACTTTCTAACAAGTGTAAATATATAATCTACATATAATGAGTAACAATTGTCACTTAGCACCTTATAAAACTGCAATGATATAATTTTGATATTTTGATAATCGAAACATTAATGAAACTAGTGGTGTATTGCAATGTGCCTTAAGGAAAATTGCTGGGACTTCCTGTAGTGTAATAAAGTATTCAAAGGATATTAAATGTTTTAAAAAATATTATTATGAATTCTGTAACTTTTGTTATTCGTATTTTATAGACAAAGTATAAAAGCTTATGAATTGGACGATGATGTTTATATAAGTTTGCATGAATAGTAAATGAACAAAACTCAATGATCACTTTTGAAGCGGAGATAAAATTAAGAATCTTGTCTAATATTTCTAAGAACTATATAAACTGAATTGCAAAGTTAAAATTATTTATATCAAGTATTTTAGCTAGAGTTAAAATTGAAATCCAAAATATTTTTGATACTCAAAATAAATTATTTTTTGAAAAATATTTTTTTAATTTTGAAATAAAAAAATATCTTAAGAAAATCAATCGTTTCGCAAAAAGGTTTTTGAATCACTCAAATCGGAATCTCTCAAAAACTGCCACTTTTCACACATTTAGCTCCGGATCTCCGAAACGGCTGGACATGTCTTTGCCAAAAATGAATTACCACTTCTCCCCATCATCACGAATTGAATGCTTTTTGAATCATTCCAATCGGATACCCGCTTCTCATAAAAAGCGAGTTTCTATTTTCTGCACTCTTTGCTTCGTATCTCGGAAACGACTGGACCGATCTTTCCCAAAAACTAAACAACATTAGTCCCCATAATTAGGAATCGATTGCTTAGTCAATCATTCAAAACATACACACACATCCTTTTTTTGAGGTATGCAAAAATGTTCAGTCACTCTAATACGTGAAGATATGCAAAAAAACGTTTTTGATTTTTGGTCCATTACTATAACTTACCCTACGGGAAGTTAATAAGAGTTTGCTGTTATATTTATTAATGTCTACTTGGTAGGGATATTCTAATCGCGATATTAACTATTAATTCTAAACTAAATACAGATTTTTTTTTATTAAATTATACTTCAATAAACATTTAGACAACAAGTGAAGCATTTTGTAAAGAACTGTTAAGAGATATTACTTGTAATTTCAAACTGAATATATTATTTTTTATTAAATAACAAGTAAAGCATTTTAGTGATCAGTCGAAGGTCCTATCTTTTGAATTTAATGATTAATCCAGATGAAATAGATATAGAATATGATTGTAAAATTAATCAAAGTTACATGGTAATAACTGTAAACACTAGATATTTTTAGATCATCTCTAACGACCAGTTCGGGCTTTCGACTGACTCGAAATGTAAATACGATTTTCCCAGCGGTAGCGTGGCCGAGCGGTCTAAGGCGCTGGTTTAAGGCACCAGTCTCCTCGGAGGCGTGGGTTCGAATCCCACCGCTGCCAAAATTATTTTATTCGAGAATGAAAGTATAAGAACAATTTTTAGAATTTAAAATAATGTTCAGTAAAGTTTCAATTGCATAAACAGTTTTTATTGATAAATAAAATAACGTGTTAACTTTTTATGTTAACAGAATAAAACTTCAATTATTAATGTATATTTAATGTATGTTCAACATATCTAATCACTAACATGATTTGTCGAAATGTAATGTAATGTACTAATGTGTGGATGTGTTAATTGTAGCTGACCTTAGCCATGGTCAGCTACTGCAATATCAATCTATCATATAAACAAAATTTTATACAAATATTGTAAAGTGTTTTTAGTAGACAAGTGTGAATTATCAAAAATAATAAGATACTTATATGACCTTAATATATAATCGACAATAAATAATATTATATGCACATAATATTTGCGTAAATAATAGATACTACACATTTAAATGTACAAATTCTATTAAAAGTAAAGTTTTAAAATAGACTGATCGAACATCTAAATCAAAATAGACTAGCAAAGAAGTTGTTAGATCAAATTCATAGCAGACAAATTACCTAGTGAGCTATTTCATGTACACTAACGAAAAAATCTATTTTATATTTTCTTTTTCGTATTTTTTCTAGAAATTGAGATTTGCTAATTTTTTGCTATTTTTAATGTGGGCATGTATGAGTATTTGAGCCTATTATCTGAGTATGTTCAGTAAAACTCCCAGTTAATTCAACATTGTAGAAATATGATTTTTTTCTATTTTATTTTTACTTTTATTTTCAAAAATTTGTCACCTGGTCCTTTTTACCCCTTAGGCTCGGTATAATGGGAAAACAATAGGTAAACTGTTCCAATGACTTATTTTTAATTTTAAAGGGATTTTACAAAATAATAGCTACAATATACTCAATCAATGCAAAATATAAATTTCATGAGCACTTTTTTTTACAAACTTAACATTGTATTCATCCTTGATCTGGTATTTTGTCAGAAATATTCATCAGTAGGGTTGAAATAACTATTATTTTAGTTTATTTTTTGTAAGATGGCATGTTTTACTAAATTTATATTTTAAATTGCCAATCATTATTTTTATGCCTTTTTCGGTGTAAATGTTCATTTGGCCCTTTTTACCCCATCCATATGTAAGCTATTATAGAGTTCATATAGAAAATATCTGTTGAATCTAACATAAAATTGATACTAGTTCTTATGAAACATCTACATAAACTAAACAACAGTGTTCACAACCAAAAAAACAACAACGAAAGAAAATACTATCGTTATGCAATTTCAAACATGGCCATTTAACACCTGATAGCGATGTTGCTTGTTTACACATCTTTTTTCATTTACTTTCAAATAATGTTGTTAAAATACTCTTATCTTCACATGTTTTTGAGATATTGTTGGTGGACCTTTTTACCCGCGGTCCTTTAAGTCCCGCTCTACTCTAAGTATCTTTCGGATCATTTCTTCGGAGTTCATTGTTAAACATTTTTTTTGCGACTTTGATCAATTTTTGTATGATGATAGAGTTCATTTTCGTATTATAGAAGTACGACAAAAAGATAGCAATATAAAATATTATTATTTACAAGTTTCTGGAAGTTAATGCAACTTTTTTTAATCTTATTCTACACCTGGTTCCTTTTGGCACTACCATCAGTGTGAAGAAATTCATTACTGGACATTGTTTTCAGATTTATTGTTTTTGTACCCATAACTAATGTGAAAAACTTATTTGATGCTTTTTGAATTTAACTCCCTGAAAGAATTTGTTTTCGTTATAAAACCGATTTTTAATGTTTAATTTGATTTTTCTACGTTTCAAGTCATTCTAAATCGTGACGTTTTGGTGACACCAAAATTGGTACAATGAACAATTGATTTTGGGGTTTATGTTGATAGAAAATCAAAATATATACATACATTGCTATCACCATCGCACAAGTAATAATGCTAATCTCGTAAGCAATTTAATTAATTATCGAATAATACTCCAGTCACAATATCCCATCAAAGTAAGCTATAAGTACATATGGACAGAACAGGCTAATGTAATTAGACATATGCAATTAGTAAATGCATTCAGATACATGCATTGCTCGGTATAGTTAAAATCAAATCACTGTGCATAAACGCGATGAATCGGATAGAAACTGTTTGACAAATATTAATAAATGATAATTAAATTTTACATTATGTTATTCATTACATTAAAATTATTTAATTGGTGATCAAAGCCGAACTGAAATTAAATTACAAATATACAGTCAATAAATTAATTTGATATATGCCATTCATTAAATAAATTAAATTAAATAGTATTTAATATAAGAAAAATAATTATTGAATACTCAATATTTAATATATACAATTTTTCCAACATTTGCAAATATAAAATTTCAGTAAAATTATTAAAGAGATTAAATACTTGCAAAATTAAAAAGTAAATATGTTTTTTTATTAAATACTAGCTGACCCGGCAAACGTTGTTTTGCTATTTAAACAATTTCTAGATAATCAAAAATATTAATACTTTAATTGTATAAAGATGTGTATTGTTTGAATGCTATATACAATGAGGTATTATAAAAACAATATCAACCCCATTAGTTTGTCTATATTTTCTCAATACAATCAAACTGGAAGTTTTATACACTTTCTATAGAAAACATGGTATAATCCAATCCAAGTCTTTTTTGGTCTTTCGACCAAAATTTTTTTTCTGGATTTTGCGAATAATTCTAAATATTACTACTGAGCTTATACAAAATTTTCAAATTTCTGCGAGGAAAGATAGAAAATGAATTAAGTATTTCTCCTTTGACTTTTTGAAAAGTTTCAAGTAACATTCGATGAATTAAAGTAAATTTAATAAAAAAGTATATATGTAGAGCAGGGCGAGGCACAAAGATCCAATTTGACTTTGAGCAAATATAAACTATATTATGAAAACCAAACGAATTATATCACAACAAATAACACATTTCAAACGAACAATTATCTGACTACGTTCAGTAAAACTGCCAGCTACTTCATCATTGTAGAAATGCGCTTTTTTAATGTCTTTCAAAAATTTGTTATCTAGACCTTTTTACCCCATAGACGTGGTAACTTGGAACGGTCAGGTGGCAAACAAGTTTATTGTCTTTTATTATGGATTCTCAAAGATTACCGTTTATCTCTCGATTACAATTAGAAAAAGTTTTGTCTTAAAATGAAATCATCAGTAAATTCTTCGAATTAGAAATTAGAAATTCGAGCTTGGATGATTCGAAAAGATAATCATCTGTACTAATTATAAACCCAACAATGGGCGATAAGAGTGATCAAGCAACAAATTAGTATATTTCGATTTATAAAAGAATTTTTCAAACATTGAGTAGGGTAGTGAGCGGGGCATAAGGTGCAATTTGACTTTAAGCAAAATA